CAGGGGGCCATCACAGCTCCAGTCACTCAAAGCAACGCACTTGACAATTGTTCACCAGGACTAAGAAAACTCAGGAGTGAGTTACTGTTGAAGGCTTCGGCTAACATASAGAGCAACATTCAGCAACGTTCTAGATGCAACTCTGTGTCACTGTCATTCTCAAGGAACRAAGCATTTTGTTTCTTAGTCAGCATGAAGTTTTTTGCATGAAAATAAAAGTATTAAAATTGCTTCCATTTGCACTCATGTGCAGATACCTATGAAATGAGACCGTGTTTAATTAGCCAGTGTAATCAGAGAAGTAACTTTAACTGTAACACACTGCAATTCCATCTCCTACTGCTCTACGCTTTGTTATTTGCTGTTAAGGTAATAAATTGGATTTTCTACTACTAACTACTTTTTAATAATCAAAGGAAAATAATTCATGTAGTGTGTAAGTTATCATTAAAAAAATCAGTAGGCACAAAAAAATCATAAGAGGCTTCTTTCTACAAAACATTTTGTACGTCAATTTAAGAGTCTGCCTTAAGAGTAAAATTTCACGTGTTGGGATTTGCTAGCAATTTCATTGTTACAGCTGATTTTCCAATTTTTTCTCAAAGTCTGTGGTAAAACTGTACTACTATTATTTAGATAAGAATGTGATCTTTTAAAAGCAAATGACTTCATCTCCAGCAGTACCTTTTAGTTATAATTTTAGACTTAGGGTATAATGGATTAGAAGCAACTCTGATCTTTCAATATATTCAGCAAAGCTGCAATTCCCAAATATTAACGTTTACCCCAGCCTAGACATGTCCTWATACTGAAATTCACTCTATTTTCCTTTTGCTGCACAGAGTAACCCATGCAGCCACTCGCTGCAGCGAGGAACCGGTGCTGCGAGATCATTCCCAAGCATCTTCCATCAGGAGTCAYATGTCGGAAACCCAGCACTAGATGCCAGCCACAGGCATCTGGCACCACGTTGTCATCATCGTAATTTTGTCCTCTTCCTGTCTTCTTTTCTCTCTCTCTCTCTCCCTCTCTCTCTCTCTCTATAATATATATATATATATATATTTTTTACTTAATTCAGCTCTGTGATACAGCTCATTTCTTCCTCTCCCTCCCTCTGCATTTACCAGTTTTTGCTCTTCTCCTTTGCTGTTCTGCTGTCCTGGCTGAATCCCTCTGCATCCGTGGCACATGGGACTCGGGCTGTTTGTTGTATGTCCCACTTTTCATTCTATCTGCCCATTACTCTCAACACATGGTGTACTAAAAAATAACTTCTRTGGTTCTGATAAGAAATATCAGTAGCCTGCTCTACAGGATACTGGTATTTGGCGGAAACAAAAGGAATATTGTGCTCATCTAATCAGGGATTTTCAAGCCCACTGTCTTTGCGCTGGAAAGAATTTAGCATCTGCTGTGCCACTAGATGGGTTTGTAACAAAGTTGTATCAGTTGAATTAAATTTATTTGGAAATAAGCAGCATTAAGTGAAGTTCTGATGTGATGTCTTTATCCAGTTAAGCTCATATGAACTGCCAGCTTTGCCTTTCCCCAACCATTTCCACAAGACACATTTCTTCTGCGCAGAGATGCAGCCTTGCAGATCGATGCCTGACAACCCTCTGAATTCTTCATTATCTTGGCATCATGAGATTGCTCCTGAAGCACGGGATGGGAGATAGAAATCWGGAGAGAAGCTAAGCTCTGCTGGGCGGCAATATTAAAACTCTCAGGAGTCTCTTGCTATTTTATTGCGATTCTTTCTTGGCGACACTTTCAAACTCTCTTCCCCCCATCAGTTCCATGCCCTGTATTGAAGCTAAGGATGGTTTCACTTACATGGTTACAGCAACTGGCTACAGCTTTGGAGGCCTGGACCTAACTAAACYTCTCTTGATCCAAAATTATCCCCAGACCAAATAGGAATAAAATCCACTTTTAACACAACAGAGCTCACATATTATGCAGGCACAGCTTATTTCTCCTGAGCACAAAGGTCTGTCCCTGATGGCATTTTCTGCATTCACCAATCTTGGTTGATAGATCGAATAGCTAGATACCATAGAAGGAAACTGATCCTAAGCCCAGAGAAGATGAGGTTGCAACACTTCTCTAGAATTAAGCAATGCTTAGCAGGAAAGAACTCAGACCTTTTGATACATTAGATAAGAAGTGAGAGAAGTGCCAGTATGTGACATAACCCCCACACAGAAACTAAGCATCTTATTTTGCATCACAGAGTCTCCACATGGCTACAGCCCTCACCTCCCGGTTTCCTCATGCATGTGCCGACTGTCCCTGCCAATTATGTTCACCTGTCACCCCAGCAGCCTCCTCCTTCCCCAATTAGCTACATACTTGAAAAGGCAGCCAGTACTTGAAGCCATCTGCCTTCTAAAGGATAATAGAAGCCTTGCTTCACCCTTGCCTTCAATTATCAGGGGGTGAATGTGTCAACTTTCTTCCCCTCCCACTAATTTAGATAGTCTTAGGCCATTCATAACACCTGAACACCTGCCCAGGCTGCACATTCAACTTCTAAAGTAGCATGAAGTATATGGGAGGAGCCGATAGGCTTGGATTGTTATTTAATAGTTGTTTTGCAGAAATGCCTACAGGCATTAATTAAGATCAAGGTGCTAAACTCTAAGAAGACTTGCAAGGAAAAGAGTTCCTACCCCAGAGAATTCATAATTCAGCCCACAGCAAGCCACAGCAGGTAGGTGAGATAAATTAAGTGCATGGACAGAACAAGAAATACAACCATCTACTTCTCCAGTTATTTTCTAGATAAAGTGTGGATCATCTTTATGTACACATTTCCAGATATTGATATTCTCATTTTGCTGTAGACTTGACTTTTCTCTACTCTGAATCAAAAGGAGGTGGCCCATATCCTTCCCGTGGAATTAATTTAAAAATACATGGTTATAATAAAGCTGTATTAAAGTATGTGCAGAYCTTTTTAACAGACATAACAATGCAGAAGACTATAATATATAAAAGGCTTATTTTTTTCATTAAAAGTAACCGAACCCATAATTTGGTAGGTAGAAATAAAGGTCATTTTCATTTACTTCAGCTTGCTGAGTTTTATGAATTTATTCTATATAGTAACATTTCTTAACACGGTATTTCTATCTGGCTTCAGTTTTAAATTACTGAAGCCTTTTGCTGAAATAATGAAGGCCCATTCCTGCTCTTGCTATAAATGCTTCTTTGCTGTGTTGAGTGCATTGCTTCTCTTAAAGTCATGCAAAGATAATGTGAAAGTGCCAAATCRGAAGCCCTGGCAGCCAACCCTAGAGGCAGTTAAAGTTGCCCCATTTTCTTCCATACAAGTAAAACCACCTTCCTACACAAAGAGGCCACTTCCTCCAAAGAGAATCACCTGCAAGATCAAGATGTAAATAAGTAACAAAGATAAAAGCAGAGAAAAATTAATCTCAGATGTAAGTAAATGAGAATTTTGCTATTTTTAGCAGGACATGGTAGGTGTCTTAACACTTTAATAACGCGAAACTTTGCCTACAGCACAATATGGAATTTCTGTTACTATTTTTAACTACTTTTACTATTAAACTACTTCTATATTATAATCTGTTGTGACTTAGAATATAAAGTACAATGCTTCTACAGAAAAAAAGATCAACAGTTTTTTTTTTTAATAACATTTATTTTCAGCCACATCAAGAAGTTTAAAAGTTATGTAGGTAAGAATGCAAGGTTAATGTTGAAAATGACACTACTCCACTTCTGCTGGCCCCCCAGAGGAGAATGATTCAGCTGTGAGGTGGCGCTACACATTCCCTGTGCTGCCGACACCTTCCACCAAGCCTGCGTACATCCAACACAGGCAAAAGATGCCACTCACGCTCTCACTGTTGTACAGAGTGGTGAAAATACGAAGCAAATGGAGCCGTGGAAACGAATGGATATAATATCTAATACATAATACAGCTCCGCGCCTTGCTTAATGCTTCCTATGCTATAAAAAATGCAATGTACTTGAATAGCTTAGTAGAAYCCTGCAGTTCATTCTGACTTTTGGAAATTCCACTACTTGAATTGAGCCTGCAGATTAAAACGCTGAATTATTTAGCATATCCTTCTGCTGTGAACCACCTTCCTCCATATTCCCCCCAATAACTAGCGTGGGTGGCTGCTTGTACGTGTTCACCCTTGGGTGCTGCCAGCAGCTTTTAGGGCATACGTATAAAAGGGACGCTCCGCATCCTCCGAGCCGTTCCCAGCCCTCCCTGTCCCGTGGGCTCCGCCTCAGAGGGACAGGTGAATCGCAGGGACAGGTGCCACGCTCCTTCCAGCAGCACCCACCGCCCTCACGCGCCGCCGCAGCGCAATGGCGGYCGCACCGCCCGCCCCTCCCTCCGCCGCCAACGGCTCCGCGGGGCGGGGYTGCTCACGTGACCGCCGCGGGCGCGCGGGGTCGCCGCCGGGGGAAGCGCGCCCGCGAGCCGCGTTGCCAGGCGACGGCAGCGCGCGCCGCCAGTGGGGAGGGGTGGGGAGGCGATGACGCAAGAGCGCGGCCAGGGCGGCGGCCGGGGCGGCGGCTCCCGCGGAGGCCGCTCAAGGGCGGCCGCGCTCCCCGGGGCCGCGGGCGGGAGGCACCGGCGCGCGCGGGGGTTGCGCAACGGCGGGGGCGGTAAGCGGTGACCCCCGCGGTGCGAAGGTAGCGGCCCGAGGGCGGTGACTGAGGGGCGGGCTCCGCAGTGCTGCCAGCCAATGGGCGCGGCGGGTCGCGCGCTCCGCCCCGCCCACACCGCGCGGCGGGGCCAATGGGGGAGCGCAGGGCGGGGCGAGCGGCGCTAGGCGCGGGCTGAGCGCGCGGCGCCGTCAGACGCGGAGCGGCCGCAGCGAAATGGCGGCGCGGGCGGCGGCGTGCGCCCCGCGCTGAGGGACGCGCCGCGCTGAGGGACGCGCCGCGAGGCGGGAGGAGGCGGCGGCGGCCGCGGAGCGGAGCGGAGCGAGGCGAGGCGGGCGCTAACGCTGCTTGTGGCCGGCAGAGAGGCGGGATCCGGGCTCGGCTCGCGGCTGTCACCCCCGCCCGGCAATGGGGAATGGACTCTCGGAGCAGGCGCCGCTGCTGTCCAGCCTGCCCTCCTTCCAGTGCTTCCACATCGTCATCCTGGGCCTCGACTCGGCCGGCAAGACCACGGTGCTCTACCGGCTGCAGTTCAACGAGTTCGTCAACACYGTGCCCACGAAGGGCTTCAACACGGAGAAGATCAAGGTGACGCTGGGCAACTCCAAGACGGTCACGTTCCACTTCTGGGATGTGGGCGGCCAGGAGAAGCTGCGGCCGCTCTGGAAGTCGTACACCCGCTGCACCGACGGCATCGTGTTCGTGGTGGACTCYGTCGACGTCGAGAGGATGGAGGAGGCCAAAACGGAACTGCACAAGATCACTAGGATATCGGAAAATCAAGGAGTGCCTGTGCTTATAGTGGCTAACAAGCAGGACTTGAGGAACTCGCTGTCTCTCACCGAGATCGAGAAGATGCTGGCCATGAGCGAGCTGAGCTCGTCCACGCCGTGGCATTTGCAGCCTACGTGCGCGATCATTGGGGACGGGCTCAAAGAGGGACTGGAGAAGTTACATGATATGATAATTAAGCGAAGGAAAATGTTGAGACAGCAGAAAAAGAAGAGATGAGTTTCGTGCCGACCTTCCTCTCCCAGAGTAGCCACACGGTCAAGATTTGACGTGAGACAGCTTCCAAACCCGGGCCTGCCTGCGTGGATGCCGTTAAGCTTAGTTATGTTAAACACTCGGTTGCACAACCTGGCCTTGTGGGAGGCTGTGCAGTTACGGAGGGTTTTGTTTTGTTCTGTTTTTTTCCTTTTAATAGTCTCTTCTGAGTTTTAAGGCTCTGCATTATTTCAGAAGCCCTAATAGGTAATGTAATGCTATCAGGAAATGGATGGGTGGGTAAATGTGACATGGATGTCTAAATAGCCAAATAAAACGAGGGGTTTTCGCGTAGTGTTGTATTCATATGTTTGAGGGTACCCTCTGCAATCAGTTTGCATTGAAGGGGTTCTGTGTTTTTTAAACTTCTAATGCTCATAAGTGGAGTGTTTAGGTGAACATTATACAGCTTTAAAAACATATATGGAGCTAGTAACCCATTACTTCAGGAGGCTGTATTTATTTTATTTGGGGATCTCCATGAAAGCTTGGCTACACGTGTAGTTTTTCTAATTTGGCACTTCTGAAATCCAATCATGCTCAGTTCAAATACTTGAAACTTCAATGCTGTGGATTCTTCAGCTGATAGAGACTTGTTTGACAAGTAAAATATAAACAACACACTGGAGCGTGGAGAAGTGGTTTCCCAACACATAGCATGTCTTTTGGTATGCAAGGTTTTTGTTTTTTAGAAGTAGCCATTCATCACTATACATTGCTAATCAGGTTTACACACTTGTAAATCACTTAAATTAAGGACTTGAGCAATTTTTTTTTTATTATTTTTGAATGATGCATATTATGTCCTCATGCTATCAATTTAAGAGTAAATTAATTGCAGTAAGAGAGTTATAAAGAACAACTTTGGCTGTTGTGGTTGTAACCAGTGCAGCATTTTTAGCTCTATGGGTGACATTTTTGGCAATAAAACTAAGTCATAATGAAGTAAAGATGGAGTTAAACTTAGGAGAGCACATGTTGTTTCTCCCCCAAACACCCATTATATTAAAATGATGTTGCTCTGTCACTTCCAACATACACTTTTTTTTGTTTTGTTTTGTTTGTTTTGCCTTTTTTTTTTTTAACTGTGACTTTTAAAGTATTTTGTGGTTAGGAATGTATCAATACTTTATACACTCAAAACATTTGACACTGGGGGTGGGAAGTGGGCAAGAAGACTTTTAAAGATGGGCCTGTGTTCTGCTTTACTTATGCTTTAAGCTGTTCTTGTTTACAGAGTGTGCAAACAGTGTTAACTGGGCAGGATCGTTCTTGACAGAAAAGGGAGTTTTTTTTCTTACTGGTACAGAGCTTCAAGTGACTCTTTAGATACTTGGCTAGCGATTAAAAGGGCTAAAAGAGAGCCTGGATTTTTAAGACTAACTTTAGTGGTGCTGTAAAAATTATCAGAATGTTAGATTCTTGTTAGACTTTTGTTGGAAATACCAGATTTAAAAAAAAAAAATGCAAAACTTATTTCCTCCTCTTATTCAGCCAGCAAAGTAATACTTTTTCTTACCTGCTGCCATGTATCATGAGGATGACAGCTACAAACCTGAATGTCAATTAATGTAACTTAGATATGTTTTAAATTTTTTTAACCAGCAGCTGTTTGTCCAGGAGGTAACCAAAAATGCACTTTAGTGTCTTCAGTAACTGAAAGTAACAGCTGTGGGGTTTTTTATTATTATTATTTTTTATTTTTATTTTTTAATGACATCTTGGTCCTTTTTGAATAAACTGAAGTAGCTTCCAGTGGAGCTTTTGTATGTTGGTTATATATGTACCTGCACTGGTGACATTGTAAGTCACTTACTCAAGTAATGTCTATATTTATAGAAATGTGGATGAGTTCTTAAACCTCAATAAACAATTCAAAACAAGACTGCAGAGAGAAGGTGTTTGACTTCTTGCAGCACAGAGGTGTGTTCTCCCAGGCCTCTGCGCAGACTGGTGCTAATAACAGCACAACTATTTCTACTGAAAACAAAACTCTTAAATGTGACAGCATTACAAATTGTAGGTATCSCATTAAAGCCTAAGCGAATGGTACTGTGTGTACGTTCACAGAAGAGAAGAGTAACAGCAGCCGCTGCTTTCTGCAGTGGTGAAGAGCATGAGAAGCCTCTGACTTGGATAGTGCCCTCTTTGCACTAWTTGAAAAATCTTCAATGCGGCGGAGCGTGATCTGAGTTACGTGCAACACTCAGGGGCCAGTGTTGGGCACTGGTCACGCGTGCATGCAGGAGGTGCTTAACTCCGTGTCTGCAGGGTCAACGGCTGCATGAGGGATTCCCATGTACAGGGCTTTGGGCTAATTTCCTCTTGGGTTCTTACGGCAGGGAACAGAGCGTGTAGAGAGATATTAAAAGCTCTAATTAGTTTGGGGCCTTCTACATAGGCAAAACAAATCTCATTTGGAAACCTAACAAAAATTGCTAGGTTTAAAGTAGGATTAAGATAGGCGTAAACCTATGTCCCTAAAACTTGGTACTTAATCATGTAACTGATGGCACATCAAAATGGAGACTACTAGCAGCCTTGTGAGAGGGATATATACATATAAATATATATTTGTATTAGTAATGTTTAGCCTTATGAATCCGGGGCCTAATTGATGTAACATCTTAATGTTTTTCTTCCTGTTGCATGTGTAGTGCTGCTAAGTTTGGAGGCTGATCTGACAAGTTGGCTGCTTCTACTTGGTAAACAAGTGGTAGGATACTAAGATCTGCTTCATTTCAAGTCTTTATTAGGCTTTTATTAGAAATGGTTGAAAAGGGATGTTTTCTGGAAAGGTCAGCCCTATTCTGTGTTGCATGGTGGAGTCTCCCAGAAGTCTTGTGTGCGTAAAAACTTAGCAGATACAGAGACGTGAATGATAGAAGACAACTCTAGAGGAAGAAGTGGAAGAAGATGGAGAATTGTGTTTCTAAAATAGCACAGTTGCTACTGTGTGATGTTTAATTTTGACTTAGGAGTGGAAAATTCAAACGTGAATTCTGTGTCACCAGGCTTTGTCTTTTGAGTAAAATATTCAGAAGTGGCTTTAGACGCTTCTGCTGTAGACACTTCTGCAAATCTGTGGCGTTTTCTTTGTTTTTGCTCTGTTTGCTTTTAATATGACCAAGCAGCCAAGTACGGACAAAATATTACTTGTAACAGAGTGTTCGATACCTTAGCTGCTCGAGTTTCTGCTGGCACAGTTCTGTCGGCCTCGGATCACTCTTTTCCATAGGCTGAAYTGACAGATCTGGCCTGAATAAATGCTCGTATGTGTAGGAATATCTTTAAAGGAGCTGAATAAGCAGTTGCAATTTTGTTGCAATGCTCAAGTTCTGCTATTTAAGCTTTAAAATAAATTTTGCTAAAATGCACTGTAAATGATATTCTGTTCTTCAAGATACCAGCCATTTCACAAATGCCTTGAACTGCTTCTACATAAAGAGGGTGCAGGATTGCATTTTAAAACAATGCAGTGCTGTTAAAAATGAGAAAAACATGGATGTTTGTAGCGTTACCCTTGCTGTCTCAGGGTTATCGTATGAAAATGAGTGCCTTGGTTGTTTATGCACGTGCAATCACCTCACGTTAGGCAGCCCTTGGGATCCCATCTTTGCTTTGTGTAGCTGCCTTTTGATCTATGGCCGCTGCAGCTGGCCAGGAGCACTGTGGGCTGTGAGCCCTGCTCGAGGCCTTGGCATCGCCTCTATGTCGCATGTYGCCCTGAATGTGCATTTCCAACTGAAAACTTTAAATACTGGATTTTAGCAAGGAGCGAGGCGAAGCCTTTCTCTCCTTAAGCTTTCATGTTTTATGATCCTTCCTGTGTGGCAAGCGGTACCTCCGGCCGGTCGACTTTGTGTTGCCCGGATAAAGCAGCTGGGAGCAGCCCAGATGGATCAAAGGCGGCTGCCAGGCCCSACCCAGGCTCTCGCTGTGCTGCCAGAGAGCAAACTCGGGGCTGCAGACGCTTGCCAGGCTCTTGGAGAACTTGTTTACCCGGAGTAGAAGGTTAACTGGTGTCGAGCTGAAGCTTTGGTTGAAAAGCAGCGTAACTCGGCCCAGAGATGGGCTCAGGTACTGCAAGGAAGGGCCTGGTGAAGCAGAGCACGGAAGCACAGGGAGCCCAGCTGCGCTGTGCCAGCCCTCGTGGGTGACCCGAGTGAGGTGCTGGCAGCAGGCGGGACTTGTAAGCCTGGAATGCCATGTTCCCTAGCTAAGTTATTTTGAGAGAGAAATCTAGGGATGACTTAGTGCTTTTGGGGCTGGGATTTTCTCTTTATTGTCCCATGACTCATCTTTTAGGAAGGTCACAGTTTGCAGCCATCTCGATAGCTTCATCTCCCTGAGCAAAAAGTTTCCCCCMAAAAACAAAACAAAACGAAACAAAAATCCTCAAACAATAACCATAACCCCCTACTGTTATTCCTGGGTGGGATGTCTAGGGAGCTGGGCATGGGCATAACCTCCTAATTTGTTTAGTCTGGGAGGTGAAGAGAGCACGAATTCTTCTGATTCCTGCTCGATAGGTAGGGTGAAGGCCAGCCCCTCCTCATTGCTTTGCAGACTGAGGTTATTTTTAGCAGCAGCACAATGCTCACAACCATGTGGGTGAAGTCGTGTGTGTTTTTTAAAAGAAGATAAATATACAGCTTAAAATTCCTGGTGATGGGGTGTGGAGAGATGTCGCATGGTTTCACTCAGTGATCAGAGGACAAAGTGAAGGGGCGATGTACAGCTGTTACCTGGTCAGTCATCTTAAGGAGCTGTTACCTCCTCAGTCATCTTAAGCTATCTGTGAAGAAGCAGAAATGCCTTTTCAGAGGCTGAGCTGAGAAAATGGATAAAAATCCCTCCCAAGAGGTGCAGAGCTTGGGGCCAGTCTCCAATTTCTGTGGTCCTTGCTGGGTGTGATGAGGGGCACCTGGGCGCTGACAGGGGAGAGCCGCCCCGTGCTCCTTCCGGGCTACCCAGCTCGTAGCATATTGCTGTATTTTCACATATTGATTTTATTCYGAGGCAAACCCAGGATCTAAGAAGCCAAACCACCCAGGGGCAGGCTAGGCAGAGCCTGCAGACCACATACCTGCTCGTATGCAGGTGGGGAAGGTAGGAGGGAGCGCTGCCGAGGCACTGATGGTGCCCTGTGCAGTTCTGTTTACACAGCTGGTGTGGCAGCCCTCGGGGCCAGGGGTGACCAAAATATTCATAATTTTCGTTCATTTAAGATGTTAATAATTGAATATTTAATATTCAATAATATTTTATTATTAGAATATTCATTCTTTTTATGCACAATAGTTTTCTTATAGCTGAACTTAAACAACACCTGATTTGGGAGAGACACCTAATCACCATATTAATCTCCAATTACCTTGACAAGAGAGAGGGGGAGGAGGGTGCTGAGGCCTCCTGGCTGCCCTTTGCTAAGAATAGCAGAATCACACAAGAATTGTAGGTCATGCAAGGCAAAGGAGCAAGGTCTCCTGCCTCCAACACTACACATGGTCTGAAGGTGCCCCTTGCTCTGTAACCAGGCTGCTGATCTTCTGTACTAATTTTATACGTGSGAAATAATCATAATAACCATTTATTTTGGAGCATAATATTTTCATCCCCTTCCCACTTCAGCATCACTTCCCCAAAAAGCTTTAATGAATTTTGGTGGTAGAGTACTCCAGAGATGGATGCTATAGGGTAAGGAGAATTCCTCAGAAAAGAGTTTGCTACAGAGTCTTGTTTAGCTAGAAAAGACATCTGAAGTGCTTCTGTGGGCCATTCTGTTGGGTTCTCGGGGGAACTTTGGGTTCCTTGGGAAAAGTAGCATATTATAACCATGTCTATGCAATCACAATTTGTTCCTATTTGATTCCTGTGATGTAAGAGATACAATAAAATGACAACTTATGAATTATTAGTAGCACCATTTCCACTGAACACTCCACCATTCTTTTTTGTTTTGTACTCTATTTCATATAGGAGCTGAGTTGTGAAAACTTTAGAAATACTTACC